TGAAGACTGGCGGCTCCAAGCGGCCTGCAGGTCAACTCCAAACATCGTGGGGACGAAGTCCTGTCAGACTAGAGCTTCGGTGTTAATGACAGTCAGACTCTGACTTGCAGTGACCCTGGGTGATATCACGACAGTCAGAAACAGGGCGTGGAGACTTAATCAAAAGAAACTGGGGGAATCCAGCAGTAATGGAACGTTCTACACATTGTCCTTCCACTTCTCGCGCATTGCCCACTCTTAAGTCTTCCGCCCATTCCGCAGTCGACTGGAAGAAGTTTGTGTAAGGCCACAGATGCCAGCTTCAACACTCCTTATCTTGGCGCTGTGGCGGGGGTTGGCGCACATCTCCTTGTTGACCTGTCGCGAAGACCTCAAAATCTGCTGCGTCCTCTCCCCATCACCGTCCCCCACCGCAGGAGGCGGCACCCCAAGTCATAAGTTTCCATCCCTTGCAGTTGTTGCTGCGAGCCGGTGGTGACGTCCGAACATTGTTGCTGCATCTGCTCGCAGGGTCGTTCCACCCCGTCCTCAAGAATTTCGCTGCTCATGCAGGAAACTCTTCTCGGAGCCATCATCATTGCTGCACTTCTGAACACGAGCCCTGTCCCGAGCCATCACTCACTGTGATCAACTAATTGACTAGCTTCTCTGGCATCCACCAGAATCCAAGCCGACGGGTCTGGCCTATCAGAAGTGTGCATAGGCGCAAGTTTGTTACAACATGTTACAACTGGGTCCTCGTCGTCAAAAACCCCGGCGGCCGTAACCGCATTCTGCGCATGCTGGCACACTATCAGGAGTGCCTGAGGCCAGGCGAAGCTGAAAGAGGCTCTCTCAACTCACAAGCTGGGCTTCCCACATCCACGAAGGATGCAAGTTCTGGTAAAGGGGCCGCGGCCAGGAGCCGCTTTGGGTCCTGAGGAAGAACCCCCGCTTTTAACCAGGCTCAACCGGTGCTTCGAATTTTTGCGCTAGTTGTCGGGGATCAAAGGAGCAAGACACCTTCCCGAAGAACGACCTGCTGAAGCCAACATCTGCAAGCAAGGTTACAACACAGTCCGCAATCATCGAGGGTATGAACTTGGCGAAGCTCACCACATCTTAAGAATGACTTGACCGGGCCGTCCTGCAAGTAAAGGCATGAGAAGCATGTCTGAATAATGGTGTGCCCATCCAGCCAGAGCAAGTAGTACCTCTGCGAGGCCCCGTGTGTTCATAGGCGGGGAAAGCCTTCCAAGCCATCATCCCCTCCCATCTGTAAGAGTCAGCAGGCAAACGGCGCACATCAGCAAGTGGTCAATGACGCCAGCCAGCACCTGCGCATGAAGCAACTGGCCTAAAGCGCCGTGAACCGTCACTGCCTCGCCAAGCAATAATCCAGCACTCTCAATCACTTGCATTCATAGCAGCGCGTCTCTCGCATATGGATGATACGATATCGAACAGGCGCCTTCTCTTCCAACACCTTGCCAACGAGGCCGGATGTGAGTGCTTTCTCCAAGCTCATGTCCTCAACGACAGCTGGAGGAATCACAGGACCGAGTAGGACCCCGATGACGGCTTAGATTCCACGGTGCCATCGGTCCTCGTTGCTTCGGAAGCCGGTATCCATCTTCGGATCCATAATCTCCTGGCAGGAGGCCCACGGTTCACCCACGGTGTGCAAAAAAGAGAGGGGTTTGACCATATCTAGCTTGCATCTGCAATCTCGCCCCGAAGGTCGCTCATCGCGACTCGGAAAACCAGGTGGAGTGCTAAGCTGGTAAAACATTGCTAAGACCATCCTGAACCATGCTGGGTTCAGAGTGGGACTGGAAACCAGAAGTGGCGTGGGTGTTCGGACAGTGTTTCGCGTTTGTGAATGCGACGAATGAAATTCTGAACATCCGCTTGACAGAGTGCAGTCAATGACAGTCGAAACTCTCACATGCTTGGTACAGTTCCCGTTTCAATGCCGGCCCCGAGCGATTCTGAACAAGCTGGAAAGGCGATGGCAGACATGGCGTCGTAGAGGCGGAAGGTGGAGCTCTCCTTGGTGCGACAGGGCAGACGATACGTCCGGAGCAGTTCGTGAAGGGGTACAAGTTCAGCAGCATGTTCAGAAGCTCAGCTTCTTAGATAGCATGACTCCCGGTCACCACACAGGTTTGTGAAGAAATCTCAGAAACCGAAACTTAGGTGCCCTCCTGCCAAAAACGTTCACAGATTTATCTGTGATAAACTTATTTTCCCTGGTAAAACTCGTGACTCAAGCTTCTTGTTTGCAGTCAAACGCTTTGCTCATACAGATGGCCGATTGGCTGAAGCTGTCGAAGGTTCGATTCGCATGCAAACAGGTCACCACCATCTCGCCAACATTCATTCCGTTGACCTGCCAGCCGCACTGAGATGTCCAAAGGAAGGCCGTGGCACGCACGCTCGAGGCTCCCACTGCCAGGTCACACAGCGTCGTGATGTCGACCCACTCCTCCAAGGATCGATTGCAGGCAGCGCATGAGACTTGAAACTCGACGAGGCCATGAAGCTTCGGGGTCCGGGACGTGACGAAAAGAGGGAGCAACTCTAGAAACAGGTGCTGCCTAGTTGGGCATCCCTACAAGCTGCTGCTTCACAGACAGTCCTCGTCCTTCCCCGGAGGGCTATCACCCACTGGAACGGCCTCCCACAAGCATTTGTGCAATTCACACTCTGGCGGACACATTGACGACTTGCCTGCCTCTGGTGCCGGCCAGTACAATCCGTTCCTGGGATCTGCACAGATGTCCTCGAACACTTCGTCGCCGTCCTGCTTCAGAGGAAATTCTGCAGAAACGTAACCTAGTGTATGTATTTCCGAGATGTTGGATGTCAGGCTTGAGAAATTATGCTTCTATATACTTCTTAAGCCGTGCGGAAGCGAACGCAGGAGTGATTGGACTTATACACTGGTTTCAACTTTCGGGAAGCATGTCGTGACAACAGTCTTGAAAACATCATGCTACATCAGTGATGCTGCGCTGGAACACATGCATGTCTAACTCGAAATTTTGCCACCGGCAATGGCAGTATTGCTCATGAAAGCTGGCAGCCATGCCGCGCCAATCACACAGGCTGGGGCCGAAATGATGTGTCCGTCGTGCATGCATTTCTCTGTCGCACAACTGTAGCGACAAGGTTTTCGCAACTTACTTTGGCGGGGTTCTGGGAAGCACATCCCTGAATAGTGGCTTCAGGTGGGTGGATTCGTGGGCCTTGACATCACGGGGTTGGCGGTGATGCTCAGATCCGCCATTCTCTCCCTCCAGCCTTTCCCCAGCTCCGTTGACCCGGCGATCGCAGAGCCGAGGCCCTTAAAGTCTCGTTATCAGCGGCATGGTCATCAGACCAGACCCCTTCAACAACGTGTGAGTATGGGCACGTGCTCCATGCATTTCCTAAAGCCAGACACCTGTGACCTGGAAACCCCGTAAATTTGAAGCTTCAGGTTGCTCTGACGGCACGGTGTCAGCTTCCCACCAATGCACCATCCTATCGCTAACCTCTCTGTTACCGTTCTCCAGGAGCCGCAGGTCCTGGGGCTTGCTTTTCTTCTTCTTCTTCTTTCGGGGCTTCCTGCAGCGGGACATCCCTCGACCAAGCACGCTCATTCGGATTCCTCCACCTGGCGTATGTCTTAGGGTCTAATAATGTGCACGGCTCAGCACGAGACAAAGTGTTTCGCTACGGGAGACTCACATTGACATGTCATTGTCCAAGCCCAGACGGATGCAAAGCTGAGAGTCCCGACTTCTTCTGCTTTGCATCACCTCGGAGTTCATGAGTCACACGATCACTGAGAACACGCAGGAACAGGCTGCACTAGTCAACAGGTCTGACCCGACCAAAAGCACACAAGCCAGCACGTGTTCCCCGTCGATATGCTGTGGCATTCAGCGGTCGTGCTGCCGTTGGAAGTACAGCCTTGGTCGTGCACCGGCACCGTCTTCAGGCGCCAAATTCTCCTTGCCAGTAGAAGAATGATAGAGCTATGGGAGCCCCTTCTCTGGTCAATTTTTGCCCATGAATGCATGGTTCCTGCCTGCCAGCTTCAGACACAGATCGATCAAATCCCAAGCAACTCTCCAGAGGTGCAATGCCAGCCTCCTCATCGTCGTCCTCCTCCTCATCTTTGGGCATGGCATCTTTTTGCCTCAAGAAGAAACAGCCAGGAGCTACACCATCCCCTGCAACCCTCTCCATGCTGAAGCTTAGCTTGCGGCTGCTTTGCGGACTGGGTCTGGCTCATGAAGCATGTACTACCCAGGACAAAGCACCACCCCTGTGCATACCATCCTTGCTGTGCTGTGACAAACAGACTTCCGAAGACGGACGATGTAAGCAAGTAGTTTGACTTGCGAAGAGGGTCTAAGGATCTCCGCAAGCACGTGTCTACAGCAGTGCTTGAGACTGCTCATACTGCGGGAATATCGGCGCCTGAGGCCTTCGGAGATGTCAGGACTCTACGAGTGCACTTCATGTCGGAAGCGTCTTCACGATCGTTCAGAACAAGGCATGGAAAGATGTCATGCTATCTGCAGCACAAAGGTCAGACAACCTAGCGGAGCTTCGCTGCGATCCTACCCTGCGACATAGTATGTATCTTGTCCATTAGTGATCAAAGAGATGGACATGATCAAGACAGTGCAGTTCATGGTTGACTTTCTTTCGCAACGGCATGTGGTCTGCTGTGGAAATTTACAAATCTAGGCTGGCTCCACCAGGCATGCCGATGCATGCGATGGGGTCAGGCATCCATTTGCAAGCTGCAAAAACGACGAATATCAACGCTTTTGCGTGAATCGCTTTGGTGAGGAAATCAGAGCAGTTGCACAACAAAGCTACATATCTCAGACTGCAACCAGGGGTGATGTGAGTCTACACCTACTTCAGTAACGCAGTGCTCAAGATGTAAGCAACGCGACTGCACTGAGGAGAGAGAAAACAAACACCTCCAAAGGCCAAGAGGCCAAGAGCGATCGCCATCACAGGCTACCAAGGTCACCCAAATAGCCGCCGCTTGACTGGGAAGGCGGTCCCAGAGGGCCTTTCTCACACCTCGGCTGCTGCGTGGCTCAAGAAGGGCACACCTGAACAAAATCCTACGCTGAAGATGCCAGTGAATCTGCTGAGCCAGCTACCGGTATGACGGGCATTGCACATTGCCGAGTGCCAGGCTTCGACAAGTCCAGGGTGATCTGCTCCGGAAGAGGGACAGTTTCGATCTGGCAGGCCACAGGACCCAAGCAATTTCATGGCGTTGCGCGTTGAGTCACTGTTGTGCGACGGTGCCTTCTTGCAATGCACACGCCATGATCTCACAGTTTAGATTCACGTGACGTTGTCGGTGCAATTCGGTCGCCCTATGTGCTTTGCACATGCAAAAGCAGTTGGAAGTCCCGTGGGAGCTTAGCCAGCGAGGTACTATATAGCTTGAGCATGTTGTTCAATTTCAGAAAGCACCCTATGAGACTCTGATTGAACTGCAGTCCTGGACAGCAACTCGGACCAGCTGACACTTCGAGTGAGCCCCTCTGCTGGGCCTGTTTCGAGAAATCGGTTGGTGGAGGAGGCTCATCCAGGCCTGGGGCAGACAATGTCGAGAAGCGTCTGGCACCTTCTCGCACTGTGCAAGGGTGTTGCATATTCCAGCATACTCCCCTGCACGGGCTTGTCTGTCACGTAACAGTCCCCGAAACCCATCCGCCAACACCATACCATCACGAGATGCGAAACTGTACTGCCCCAGGCGCACGGACGGTGGGAATGCCACATACGGCCGAGGAACTGCACGAGAATGGGCTGAGGCTTGAGGGGCTGCCTTGCCATGGGTCACCATCACCGAAAACCGTGGCCGCAGCATCATGAACGTCGTCACCTTCGCCATCCTCGACCCCGACACCGGGTCGCAGGTCCGGTCAAGGACATCAGGCCGAGCGCGAGGAGATCAGGAAACCGCTGCGTGACGAAAGCGGACCGGGCGAGAGCTGAGCGGGGCGCCATGAGAACAGAGCTGGGTGTAGGGTTTAGGGTCTAGGGGTTTAGGGTTTAGGGTATGAGAACAGATCTGAACACTACGAGAACAGAGCGGGACACTAGCAGAACTGCGAGAACCTGCAGCGGCAAGTCGGGTCCCTTCAGACGCAGCTCCAGATGACATCCTCGCAGAACATTTCCCTGGCTGTTGGGGTTAGGGGCTGAGGGGGTGAGGCTGCTGGGCCCTGCTGGGTTGTCTGAGGTGGGCGAGGAGGGCAAGGCGACCACCGATCTGTGAATCTCCGGCCTAAGTGGCAGCGAGCCCTTCGTGCCGCTACATGACCTTTGCCATATTAGCCTGTTGAAACGCTCGCGCTCTGCTGAGACGAGGGCCAGCCAGGTCCAACAAGTCATTGCCTCCCGGTGGCTGCAGCCGGGCAGACACGTCAGACAAGGGATACGGCAGAACTTAAACAGCTCATGCACTTCACTCACTTCATTCATTGCCTCCTCCCTTGGGAGCCCCTGCCGAAGCCGCAAGGTCCTTAGCGGAAATGGTGACTGGCAGCATGCATGAGTGCTTCACTTCTGGCATGCACACGGATCGGATCGCACCGTGACCAAATCCATTAAATTTCCAAGGACAAGTCCAAGTCAAGCAGATCGGAGGCACCCCCGGACGACGCTCCTCGCCCCGTGGCCTGCGGGTAGTATCAGCCAGTATCAGCAAGCATCTTTGGTGTGTAGTTGCAGCACTTTGCCTGCGTACTCATCAGTTGTTGTTGTTCACCCATTCATCCTTTTCTTTTCAGACTTGGGGTAGAGCTGAGAGTTGCTTGCTGCGCTTTACTGCTTCACCCCGATGCAGTCGCTGCCGATCATTGCGCCATCCCTGCATTTCGCCAGTCCTGGTTCGTTTCAGAACTGCCAATCGTAGACTGAGCACTGCAAACAAGGCAGCTTGCCCAAGAAAACATGACCGATGGAATAGGCACGTGACACCTGACATGAGCGAGGCCTTGCGCTCTTCAGCATTGTTGAAGTCTAAAAGATCCTGAGCAGCCAACGGACAACTGACAGAGTTACGACTGCCATCAGTTGGAGGCACATTCACTGCTCCATCTTTGATTGAGGTGCTGCCCTTCCTGCATTTGGTGCATTGATGGTTTGTAAGCTTGCGGCTACAGCTTGCGGCTCAGGCTTCGGTGGCCTGCCACGGCAATCCACGGCATGCGAGAGGGCACCGAGGAGCATCATCAATGGCAACATCTGTAAAACCAAGACAAAAGTCGAAATGCACCCATGCCAGCATCACTCTTTCTTCGGCGGAGTCGATGGCTTGGACTCTTCTTGTCTGTCCGTCCTGCCGGATGAGTGTCGTCTTGTCCCTGCGTTTACTAACTATAAACGGTACGCAGTGTAGCGGTCTTGCAACCACCTTCATATTCATCTCGCAAACAGCCTTGCATACAGGCCTGTGTCTAGAATACAATGCTCATAGCTACGGAAATCGTAGAACTGCAGAGTCTGGACTGTCCTTCGGCCTTCTTCCTTGGCCTTTCTCTCCTCCTGCGGCCGTGGTCGTTCGGCTTTCTGGCACTCTCTGTTGCTGTCAAGCTGCGACACGGCTATGCAGGCGCTTTCATGCACTTTGTGCTGTCCAAACTGGCAATGGAGGGAAATGGGATCTGAACTTGTCGCTTCACTGCTCAACGAGAGTTGCGAAGACTCCTCTTCCTTTTGTCGCTTGGCCTGGCGGCAGATAAATCATGATCCTCTGCGCAGGCTGGAAGCGCACTGAATGCTTGGAATGTCTAAGTGTAATCCGTAAATCGACATGCATACCAGGTCACAACCCTCGCCGGTCTGTTCAGGCCCATTGAGCCTGCTGAGCTTTCCGTCTTTCTTTCAACCTCGGGAACTTGCTGCCAGGGACGACATGCTTGAACATGGTTGTTCTTGTGCGGACATCCTCTTGAGAGGCATATCATCGTTGGCTTCGTCCGGCCGTCTGTCAGTTTAGCCCATTTGCATTCCGGCACACTGAGACCGTCACCTCTGGACTCGCCGCACTGTCGTTGGCATCCGAACTTGCTCGTCTGGCTCCTCCTTTGCCGAAACCCTACCAAACTGTCACGCTTCATGCATGGCTATGCAGATTGGATGATAAGACTTGATGTCGCCTCTTACACCAGGACGACCGCTCATGAATGGGCTAAACAAAACCGGCCCAAGACTCTCAGTGACCTCTCTCATGGCACAACAGCGTGTTGATCCAGCGCAAAGACGTTGGGAGACTGGTGGAGTGAGACGGACACCGCGGCCTTGGGCTCATGGAGAGCGCTGACCAGGTCTCATTGGCTTCGATTCATGTTGCACGGCAGAGCCCCCAGCCTGGGCCGCTGCGACCTTTTGGCTGGCGTTAGATGGACAGCAAAGCGGCCAAGCTTCAGGGATCTCGTCTTTCCCATCCGGGAGAGGCTTTATATCCAGCTGGTGCAACTCTTTCAAATCGTCAGTCGAGTCTAAGACGTGGATCTGGCCGACACGAACAGGAAGGAAAATGTTCCCAGATATTCGGAGCCACTCGCGGTCTGCGTCCAACTGTCCGAAAACAATGCTCCCATTCTCCGCATACCGGGAATAACGTTCCTCGAGATCTTTCGACCTCCTGTACTGAACTCCAGGATAGGGCTTCGGCACGCTGACCTTGAATTCTGACACGAGCAGATTGACGTGAAGGTTGGCAATCTTCTGTCTCAAACCTGCATTGATCTCCCCCAACTTCAATTGATTCTGCAGCATCTGCCATGAGTCTTCTTCCAGAAAGAAAGCTTCCAAATTTCGCGTCACCTCTTCATCCATCTCCGCAATGGATGTCTCCTGAACAGTCGGCATTTCCGAGGAAGCGGATGAGGCGTGTCCAGATCGTCGACGCGGCCGAGAGGCCGGTGTTGCATGAGATTCGACTACATCCTTCTTCCTTTTCTGGGACCCTATCGGATCCACGGCAAGATTTTGGGAATTGGATTCCGCACTTTGCTTCAACGCCTCACTGGCTGCAGCAGCAGCAGCGGCTGCACGGGGCAGTGCTGGAAATTCCTGGGCTACGCTTGCAGGCGCAGGCCCAAGTTCCTTGAGCTCCTGAGGCTCCTGCGGCTCCTGAGGCTCTTGAGGCTCCTCAAGCTCCTTGCTCTGAGGGATGCCGAGTGCTCCCTGCTCTTCCGCGACTGCGGCGGCGGCAGCCGGCTCGCTGCCGACTAGGCAGGGCGTCTCCTCCCCCGTCTCATGCTTTGGTGGAGAGCACTTACGATCGCTTTTCCCGTCGGGCTCCACAGCAGATGGGACCGATGGGACCGCGAGGTCGTCTTCCGGAAGAATGGGAGCTCGAGGTAAGCTTGGTCTCACGGGGAGATAAGAGCTGATTTCAGCTATGCATGGACAGCATCGACCGAAACATCCGAACTTGGACTCCATGTTCTGTCATGGGCTTTGCAACTGCACGTGCAGCTGCTTCGACGACTTTATCGACAAGAGTGCGCTGCTCGTCAGTACTTGAGGATGCCAATCGTCAAGCAGCTGTCGGGTCTACTTACTGGGACACGTGTAGTGAAGGTTCGATCATATGCGATCCTGCTGAGCCAAACGGTTGCAGGACAGGACAGCCCTGACGAATGGAGTTGGATACAGGGCTTACACTGCATTATACTGTATTGTCAGCGCAAAGCTTATGAATGCCGAAGACTCGCACAACCGCTGTAATACTGATGGGCAATGCTTCTGCCTCAGCATGTTCTCCGCCGCCAATGAGGAAGTCTAGAGCGGCCTGAACAATGAGCTAATTAGCTTGCATCCATGACGGTCGGCATGGGCTGCTCACTGTCTGCAATCCTGTATCTGGTCAGCTTGACGCAGCTGCATGGAACGCGCTTTGCAAGTGGAAAATGTGGTGGAACGCCGCCTGAGTGTCGTTCTTGAACTTCCTCAGAGCCTGCCTGGCGGGACCTGCAGGATGCTGCAGGGGACCATGAAAGGACCCTGGGAGGTTATAAGCAAAGCCGCAATGCGCCTTCCTCGAATCCTTGTGATAGGAGCGATGAAAGACTCAGCGGGTCAACTGGCACCGAGGGCCCTTCCTCGGTCCAGGCAACGGCCCGAAAAAACGTGAGGAAGGTCCGTGGAGGCTCTTTTTTGGACTCTCTTGGGCCTCCGGAGCCTGTCCACTTGGGAGCCCCGGCATCTGCACACGAGTCCAAACCTTCGGCAGGCTTCTTCTTGTTATCCTGGAAATGCGTGCCCGAGGAAAATTTGCTGCGACTGGCTGCAGAGAATCGCAATAGGAAATCCTTGGCCAACTTCTCTATCAGGCGCGCAGAGAAGTCTGTCACGACATCCTCCTGTGCATAGGACTGCCGCCGTGAAGGCCACTCGTGCCAAGTCCTTCCGCGGCCCACCTCGGGATTCTCTTCGGCCTCTTGAATGGCCATCTCTACCTGCTCAGGCCACTCCACCCTCTGCGGGCCCTCGACTCCGAATCTTCCACTTCTCTAAGACAAAACCAGCAACTCACGGCCTGCGCTTCCAGATGCTCTGGAGTCATCTCGACCTAGGGCACTTCGGAGATCATTCTCAACGGGACTCCCTGAGAGCAGTTCCGAACCAGCTTGGAGTCTAGGATGTCACGCCATCGGTCGAAACTCCATTCGCGCAGGAAGAACACCTGCACGTTTAGTGCTACAGGAACCGTGAGAAGGATATGGCCTGGACCGTCAGAGCAGTTCTGGGAACGTATTGCAGCCCCTGCCACATCTCTCGCCTTGCCTGAGATGGAGTGAGCTGATGTAGCGAAGAACTCGTACTGCAAGTACCTCATGGCAGCTTGCGTCTAGCAAACCGACCATGCAGCTTGAAAGTGCACCCGAACGCGAGATCGCAATCCCGCTCTTCTTGCCACAATCTCTCACAGGTTTTCTGGTGCTTGCTCGGATCATGGTGGAGTTTTCGTGGGGCAGATGCAAAGATTCCGTGTTGTCCCGCTCGTTGGACCTGTGCCTCATGGGCCAAAGCCGGGGGTCAAGGCAGGAGATCGAAGTATGATACGAAAGCGTGTGGTGAGGTGCTGTGCTTTGGAATTTAAGGATTGAAGTTATTGTCGCTGCACTGCTTCCGACACCGAGCTGACCAAAGCAACTACGTACCCAGCATCAAGCGCTCGGCTGGTGCAAGGAGGAGATGCTTCCTATTAGCTGCCAGCCACAGCTGACTGCTTGAAACACAGCAGTTGAATGCGCACTTCAAGGTCTGGAGGCAGGAGTCCAGAATGTCTCCCTGCGGTCGGTGGATGATCTACTGTCGCGGCGGTGCTCTCATCAAGGCAATGCGCCTTGTACTCCTCCATGATGTAAAGCCACTCGAAAATGTGCCTGTCCACCTGCACATCCATGAGGGTAGTTTGACGACACCAGTGCATTTGCCGTGTGACGATCCTGAGCTTGATCTGTATCGTACCTCGTGGAACGCCAACTTGGTCGATTCGAGCTGCGACCTTGGGTCAAAGCAAATTTCCTGGACCTCAGAATCGCTCGCTGCCCGCTTGAGCTGGGAATCCGGCTGTGCAGCCAGATATCGACGGTCGGTTTGGTGCAAGTTCCTTTCACAAGAGCATACAAGCTGGCACAACACCCTGCCAGGCAAATCACCTCGTCTACCTTTCTGACCGATTCCTTGATAGAGCTGGGGGTGTGGCTTCTTGACACAGTCATCCATCCTTCGCAAGGCAGCTCCGAACAATCTATGAAAAAATGCAAGCCTCGACCGGAACAAGAAAAGACGTCAAATTTTATTGTTTTGTGGACAAGAAGCTCTCGCTTTGCGATATTGTACTCCAGCAGCCGGCGCCTGCCCAACTCAAAACTGGCAGGTGCCTTCTGTCGACAAGAGCGAGATGACAAAAGGACTCCCGTGCTTTCAGATTTCGGTCTTCCTTGGTGACGTGCAAAGACGCGCTTCGTGCTTATTGCAGGGTCGGGGGCAGGCAGGCCACACTGTTTGAACTTCACGCATGTCAGGAGCATCCAGAAACAACGCAAACTGCCTACTTCGAGAACGGATCACTAACTGGTGCTATTGTGCCCTTGATGAGCCTGGATTTGTCAATTGTCGTAAACTGCACAGTAAGCAGTTGTCTCGCTTCCGCAATGTACAACCTAAGAACAAGGCCACCTCAGCATCCATCGTGCATGTTGTCATTGCAACACACGTGTCGTTCGGATGCACCCAGCTTGAGCTCCCAGGGGTGGTATAGCTTCGAATGCTCCACACACATAGCGAGGCGTAGACCTCGCACGACCCTGCCATAAACAAGAAGAAACCCTGGCCTCAACCATGCACGCCCGGGTGCTCTTGATCGTGCTCACACTATTGATATGCGACTTGCCTGTAGCGAAAATCGACCATGCCTACCGTTCTGCCGGTCTGCCTCAAAAGCTTACGGTAAGAAGAACCATGCAAGCATGGTGAACCCCGTAAGTTCAGCGTTAGGCACACAGCCTTCGCTTGTCCAAGTAGGTCTTCATGTTGCGGTTGTTGACGACCTTACACTTCTTGTCAAGGTCAGGTCTCAGACATGCCGAAGCTCAAAAGCTAAGCATGTCCTTCGAATTCCTCTTTTCCAGGCCCCGTGCATGACACCGCAAGGGGTTCATTATGTTGAAGTCCTGCGATGGAGACGGTGCCAAGAGTGGATCTCTAGCCCGGCACTATGCAGGCTGACAACAAAATGTGGTATGCCGGTCTTGATAGTAATAATGGGTGTCACAGTCACAAGACTGCATATCTACAAGCCAGAAGAACACTGCAGTGTCCATGTCTCTTCGAAGCTTCGCCAAAGCGCTGTGAGGAGCATCTGCACGTGTGATGGCATTTGTGGCCTCCGCATCTCTCATGCTTTGCAACATGTGTATGTGCCATCGTCTTCGATGGACGTCGAAGTTTCAATCACGAAGCTGCAACAGCTTCGCACACATGCTACTCCAGTCTTGGATGCCTCTTTCATCTTGCAGCAGTCAGCTTTGATGAGCGAGTCGTCCACGGAAGCCAGGCCTGCATTCAGGTTGTCAAATTTCACCTGTTCAGTTCTTTAAACTCGGCTTTCGTGAGAAGGTCTGAAGCTACTTCGAAACATGCCTGCAGCGCATTTTGCTGCAGATGTGCCGTGTTTGTGATAGCACCTGTGAGTCCTAACTTCTGGAGATCAAGTAGGCACGGCCTGTGGTAACACTCTCCGCGAGGACCACAAGGCCCTCTGCCAGACTGTCTATGCCTCCAGGCAAGACACATCAAAAGCAGAAAATGCTGCTTCACACAGACTGAAAAGACGGTTTCATCAACATCACAAAGAACCTGAGAGGCCAGATGAGCTGAATCTGCACGAAAAACGGTTTGCCAAAGACTGGGCGGGCTGCACCGGACCATTGATGCACGGCAGTCTCTCGGCCCCAGCACTGCCGGCCCACTTTGCGCAAGTTTGTTTAGTTTAGCCTCCGCTCTTTAACGATTCAGTGCTGGCTGTGGCACACAGTCCTATCCCACTCTCTGGGCACCTCGTAGTTCACTACATTGATACAGTGCACCCTGCTCGCACAATCCAGTAGTCCGTGGCAAGTCAGAGCGCAAAGCTTGGTAACTGCACGCGCAATGCAACGATAGACGGTCAAGCTACGCTCTGTCGCGGCAAGCCTGCATGAACCTCGTAGTTTCAGCTCAGCTGATGTACTCCCACAGCTCCCGCCTCTCATGAAGGTTTCGACCTTCTTGAAGATGTCCTTGCACCGTAAGGTCTTGTGAATTGGACGCCGGTTGAAAGGGAAACATCAATGGCTTGCTTTGCGCAGCTGTTTGCGGCAAGAACGTGCAAGAACCTGTCTGCAACACTCTACTTCTGCTTGAAATGCTGTGCCCAAAAATTCCCATTGAGACTTGCAGATGCTCGATTGACGTCCGCTGCTGTTGCCTGGAGGGTCAAGTCGAAGGAGACGAAGTCCTGTTGTAACGAGAAACACAAAGGCCGCGAAGGTTCTGCATGTAGATATCTTGTGCTTGTCTACCTATGCACTGATGTCTACCTATGCACTGATGACTACCCTGAACACAGTCTCATGGGAGACCTGCCCAGATCTCCTTCACGATTCCTTCAAAGACGGGGTCCACGGGCTCCCCTGCGAAGAATCGCTCCTGCATGCATTGCTTGCAACACTCTGCCAACTTTTATCTCACCCTCTTGCCCTGAGACAACCTGCTGCTTCATCCTGCTGAACCGCACAGAATCAGGACAGGAAGCGAAACGGTTGTGTGTCCTTGAGCACCTTCCACTCCATGTTCATCGCTGTTAGCTGGTCCTGGAGTGTACAACACGTCGCACAAACTTTTGCAAGCATTTTCTGTACAATGTGTTTCCCAGAAGAGCAAAGGGATGAAGATTGAATCCCAGAGGAGATCGACAGACATAGACACAGCTGAAGATACAAATATAGATGTAGATACAGCCGGTTTTTGTGGTCATGTAATCTCATACACAAGGGTTCAAAGTTGAATATTATTGCAGAACCTCTCACCACCTGTCCCCGTCCATGGCTGCCACACTTGTCTTGGGCACCTGCAACACCAAGATACACCAAGTGCCGAACTTTGTCAGATTCACAAGATGTTAAGTGAATTCCGCTAGCATGTGCCTGCCTCTGACCTGTCCCACTGGCCGAGTGGAAGGCCTCTCACACCTGGTATCTTGTCCACATGCGAAACTGCGCCTGTCGTGTCCAAGGCCGTGCGCGGCACCGCGCTGGAGGAAGCAATGCGAGGTTAGGTGGACTGCTTGACAGACCAGTGTAGGGTGTGGAGCTGTGCTGCAAGTTCTCGGACTTCTCAAGCAAGAAATCATGGGCAAGTCGCTATGACTGCTGCGAAGTGCGGCTGAGCTGACTGCTTATCAGGTCGTGGGACTTGTTTCATGTGACTGCGCTGCATCACAGCTACGGGCCAGACACGGAAGCGCAGGTTAGAAGTGCATCGCAGAGAATTAGGGTCCGTCGCGGGCTGCAGTCGGCGGGGATGTGGCATTCTTGTGCGGACTCGTCAAGCTACGAGGAATGGAAGTCTGCAAACGAGCACAAAACCCTTAAGTTTCAAGCGAAACTGGTATCCAGACGTTCTCCACAAGACTCGATGTTAATTGTGGGATCCCACTGGTACTGGGGAGTGCGCTGCAAAGACACAGAAGCTATCATCCGCGCTGATTAATTCAACTTGTGATTGAATCTTATGCTGAATCCAACAGAAGCTTTTCTGCATATCGATGTCAAACTCCATCAAAGAGTCCCAAGAGGAAAGAACAGGAAAGCTGAAAACACTGCATTTGCAATATGGCTCTCTGCCGGGTCGACTACTTATTGGATGTGTGTTTGAGACTGCTATAGACTTCTCAAGTGTGCACCAAATCTTGGCGCACGGGCCCTTTGGCTACCCTAGCTCCGCTTGTCCACAGGTCGCAGGATGGTAGCAGGCCCTTTTGTCCGCTCTGCACTAGGAACAAACTCAATGATGCAGCAAAGCGCTGCTCCCGAGCCTCACAACATGAGGTTGGCTAATCTCGTGTCATCAGAGACCCGACAACAACCCGCGCGCCTTTGATGCGATATGAAACCGCTGCGAGGACATCCTGAACTTACAAGACAGAAAGAGCGCAACACAGAAGTATGAGTACTGAGTTCAGCAGCACCAAGGAAGTAATTACTGTGGTCCTGAAGACACATGGCACTGTTGTTCTCATCTTTCTGGCCATGACCTTGAGAAGCCTGATTGTGCTCGGTTTAACGAAATGCCAATTGGAACATCTGTCGGACTGTGAGCAGGTACCCGGCAAAGCGATTCCGCAAGGTTTTCTTAAGATTGGACTGCGCGATCGTGATGTCAGCGGTTCGTAGCAGCTCCGATCATGTCAATGTGCTCAAGCGGCAGAACACGATGCTGCAATGGTAGCAGCAAAATCAACATCCACGATAAGAAAGAGTAGCTTGCCGAAGCAAATCTGCTTAAAAGGTCCGTGCCGACACAGTATGACCCAACAAGAGCGCGAAAAGGGAGACACGCATACAAAATTTCAGCACAGATCCAACACAAAGCTTGCGGCTCGTGGATGTGTGATGACATGAGCATCGTGCCTGCGTCCATACCCTCCGGACATGTATCATCTCTGCCAGTGAGACAGCCTCAGCAGCTCGAGCGCAGAACCAGATGACAGCCAAACGTTTGCTGACCTAAAATGGACCTAAAACACAAACTGCACTTAAACTGAAAGGCATCCGATCCATGACAAAGCGGCTGCATGGCTAGGCATCAGAAGATCATTGTTGCTGCGCAGAAACAACCCGCCACAGCAAAAAACTCAGATGTCGATCTTCCCTGTACAAGACATCTCCAGCCTCTCCAGCCTACAAATTGAGCCGAAGCACGTCCACCCAAGAGGATGCTCCCACCTCGCGAGTTTTAATATCGCTTTATGCTACGAATGAGGGAGGCCTGCCTCTCGGAAGGTAATACTGGGCTGGAGCATACTTGAGGTGTCGGGGCCTAGGCTGGAGGGACGGGGGGGGCAGAGGGGAGGAGACCGGGAGAGTGCCGGAGACGAGGAGAGGGGGGTGGTGTCTGGGCCCCTCTTTGGGTCGATTTTCGGAGATACCAAGCCTGGTAAGGCAGAATGGATAGTCCCTTCGTGCAGAAGCACGGGAATGTCCCTATCTGCAGGGACTTCTGCACATGTATCACATGTAACATTTCAGATCTCATAATTCCAAGCGAGACCTTCACATGCAGCAGAGAGACAGAGGGGAGACTCACGGAGATACCAGGAGCCGCCCTCGTCAACTACTGTCGCCAAGCGGGCCTGATGGTGCAACCTCTGTCGTAGGAGTCGGACATGCACGCCGTCTCCACGGATGCCCTCACAGCATGAGCTGGCAGACCGAGACTGTGAGGAAGGGGTTGGGTCTGGGAAGGTATAAACTCACTGCACTTCCGCGGTACTTGTAGCAGCCACTGAAGTTTTTTGGAGCCTGGCGCTGACCTGAGGTCGTGACCCAGCATGCCGCCAGCTCCCGTACTGCATGGCTTCCAAGAGCCGGCGGCGCATCGGATCGCAAAAACTCCTCTTAGCACAGGTCACCAGCCAAATCTGCCCTTAATTAGCCTAAATTGGGTTTGTCGACGAGGCACCGCGCTGCTGCATCTGACATGTTGTCACAACCCTGCATGCACGAAACCAAGTCCTTGCAGTGCCTGTTGCTCCCCTGCAACGACACAGCAATCCACTTGGCTTGGCTTTGCTAAGTTCGGTACCCCTTCTTCCCTGCTGATCTCCATGCCGACAGTTTGCTGCCTTTCCCCGCAGTGCAAATGCACCCTCGCTCCCGTCACGAGCCTTAGCACGTCCGGTTTTCCAGGAATCCGTCACTGAATTGCTTCAAACATTTTCAAACCCATGACCCCAAAAATATCCTGGCATCGACAAATCGGAAAGCAGGCCCCTCTTCCCGGAAGAGTAGCCCCTCAACCCTCGGCCGGATGACTCCGCACAAACACTAGCTCTTTGACATCGAATTTTGTTCAGAGTTTCGATTTAAAACAAGTTGGAGATCCCCTCTAAGCCAGGAACAAGCCATGACCCTCCAGGATCCCCAGATATCTCCAGGTTCGCAGGAATCATAAAAACACATCCCATGCCGCTTCTAAGCGGGCGTCTTCAGCATGGCAGGAAAAGTACAGGAAGACCATGGAACATGTCAAAAAACAGGCAAAGCTAAGAAAAGCTAAGAAAA